CAGCAGCAGCAGCCAGCAGCAGCAGCAGCAGCCGCAGCAGCAGCAGCCGCAGCAGCAGCCAGCAGCAGCCAGCAGCAGCAGCCAGCAACAATTTGCAGCGGTGTACACACCGGAGACCTCATACACTAAAGGGGCATGTTTTTGGGGGACCTCACTCTTATGAAGACCGCCGCTTGGATTTGCAATGAAAACATCCTGGGATAAGAGTTTTAATACGGTTTTTTTTTTCCAACTCAAATGGGTTTGTCCACCTTTTTATGGGGAAGACCCCCTTCTCCTGGCTTCAAAGGGAAACCAAACAAAGACACCAATGATTTCGAGCGTCACCCCTATTTTGACACATGCCCCAACCAGCCCAGATGCTGGGCTGCGCGGTGGAAGAGCGCCCGAACGGCGCCTGGGCAGTGCTGGGCGGCCCGATGCAGGTGCAGGAGCTCCTCCTGGAGGAGCGGAGGGAGTTCCACTAGCTTCCTCTTTTTTTTTTGGGGGGGGGGTACCAAGAAAAGGTGCCTCCACCCGTGCAATTGGGTCTCCGCCATTGGAGGTCTGGGGGTTGTGGTGAGGATCCCCCTCTCTTTCCGGGCTGGATTCGGGGACATCAGTGTTAGGATCTTTGTTCCACTATATTTTCTTTCCATGATATTTAGCCCCAAGATTTGTGCTCCTGCTTGACATTCTTTCCACTCGCAGAGGAGCAGGAAGGCTGCACTGGCAAGGAGCAGCTTGGTTGCACATGGGTATTTCTTTAGAGGACACTCATGAATGGCTGATGTCTGTTTGGTTCATCTTTGAGGTCCTTCCAACGGGGCTCCAACTTTTGAAGACCTCCCAAATGCCGCACTCAGCACTTGGCCACAATATGTACGCAGTCCATTCAGTGGGGAGTTACATTAAGACGCATGAAGCAGCTGCCCTCCTGGTACGAGGCTTGGCGAGCACATGGCCATTTATGTCCGAGACTTTGATGCGTGCTTCGAGCGGTTGCTGGCACGAGGAGAGATGGAGATGGGGACGAAGGGCGTTCCCGCAAGCACGTTGAGTCAAGCGTGTAGCTTTGCCTGTTCGCCCCTTTTGGGAGTTTGAGGGAAGCTGAATGAAAACCCAACCAGTATTTCAAGACACACCCAAACACATGACGAGCGGATGTCTTGGACTCTAATTTTTATCAACCGCGATCCGAATGGCAGGACTGATTTGGGTGAATCCGCGCTTTGTGCACCTGGACAAGTCCACCACGCTTGAGGAGGCAAGCCGAACCACACTTTGGGTTGCTCCTCCCCAATTTGGAGAGACACGGACCGGCACACTGAGTATTTTCAGAGAAGGTGGAATCAGACAGCAAGCCTGCCATGTGTTCTGAATTACTTGGCCAGCCGTTTCTCTTGCTGACCTGTTGTGCTTTTTTTTTTTTTTTTGTGTGTGTGTGTGTGTGTTTGTCAGGCGCAGCACTACAGCTGCTTTCGCTTCAAGGATGTGGTGGCAGGGGTCCCAACGGGAACTTGACAAACTATTTGGCAAGCTTTCCAGACAATGTTCACTCCTCCACCTAAATATTATTTTAGACGTAGGCAGAGTTTGCGGTTGGATTTTCCCGCAACATTGACGGACCACACGCTCGCAACAGCTTTCAGCTTTGCGGGAGCAAAGCCCAACGCATTTCACGTTAACCAGGATTGCTCTTTTCGCTCATGGTGCTAAGAGCGCTTCCTGCATGGATGCCAGTTGTCATTGGTTTGGGAGTTCATGACTCACTGCTTTTCCCATAGCTTTGGCTGAGGATCTCAGCAGCGGCAAGAAGCTTTTTGAGCTCGAGCACGAGGCTGTCGGGATCCCGACTTTTGGAGCACTTGATGTTGTCATCCCACAAAGATTGTGATTTTCTACCAAACATGTGTTCTTTTGAGTGTGGCCAGAAGAGATCTACTTGCAGACATGGTGTTGATGATCTAGGGACGGCGCAAGTGGGATACATTGCCTCCTCTATCAACTGATCAGCTACTGGAAACCTCATTGTGGTTGGCGTGGCATGGTGATGGTGGGAGGACCCTTAGGACACTGGTTTCCAAACATATGCAGAAGGAACATTTGCGGTTCACGCAGTTGAATGGGCTGCCTCACCCCTCGTACTCCCTGACTAGCTACAGAATGTAGTTGGTTGGGCTTGTGACGTGGGAGTCAGCCACGAGTTTAATATAAAAGCCGCAAGCAATCTATGGTCAACAGAAGGTTTCAAGCCCCAAACTCGCATAGCAACTGCAAGGATCCTAGTAGTCATGGCTTTTAATGTATTACACGCAGGAACATGGGAGGCAGGACCCTCATGCAAATTGGAAAGCCAAGAGCTGGATCCAGCATAGCTACGTGTCTTGTATTGTATCGATGGGAGACGAGCTACTTACAAGGATTCAGTTGGTGATCCTAAAAGAAAGCCGACGCTGCCTCATCCCTTCCATTGAGATTCGTGTGCTAGCGCATTCGTAAGAATGATCTGTAAGAATCATAAACACTTTTGCCCAACAAGTCTCGCGAACTCTTGCAGTTGTTTCTTCATGAATAGACATGCATGGTCCTACATTGAGCTGCGCCCACTGGCTTGCAAGCATCAGCAAGCTTTGGGGGAGGGGATCCAACATATTATATTGTATATAAGCCAGTTGGCACAGCTGTGTCAGGAGCATGTGTATCTGTTCATGAGCCATTCAAACGGCGCTGTGCCAGAAGGAGAAGTACAAGCAATCCCAAGAGTTAGCCGAGACCAATTGACGCAAGGATGTTCATAAGTCTACACGCGAGTTTTGCAATACTCGCAATAGCGCAAATTCAGGATCCTCCATGGTTTCCCTAGGATCCCGGTAGTCTCAGATTCAGTGTGTGTGTGTGGCGTGTTTTGAAGGGAATGTTGGAGAACGTCGTTTGCATGATGCTGAGATTCACAGCGGCTAGCACTAGATGAACTTTGGCATGGGAATTGGAACGAGCTGATGTGCGTTGCTGTTTGGGGTCAGCGGAAAGCTTAGCTGCCTGTTTCAAAGAGTGTGTGCCAGGTCCGAAGCACGAGCCACAAGAGCTGGCCTTTGGCCTGAGTGAGCCTTGACATTTTCCGTTTCAGGTGATGTTAGGGACATGTTCTCGGAACCCTGCCTCACTCGCGCAGACCCGGGTGTGCCCAAAGACCGTGGCATGGCACGCCAATTTTCCGTGAGAGTGAGGAAAAAGTGTGCGAAGGCCTGAGGCAGATTGCGGAGTCTCCACTTGAGTGGTTTGCAGAATTCATGCTCATTTTGTTCTGGATGGAAAGCCGTTTCTTGCGCCCTTGCCGCATCTGAGCCTAAACCCTAAGTAAAAGTTGTGGAGTTTCAGAGGCAGCCCAGTTTCCATCGGTTTCGCACGAAGTTCGCAGCTTCCGCCTTCGATGTCCTCCCCAATTTCGCCGAGGACTTCCGGCTGGTGCCCTCGGTGACCTTCCGGCAGCTGGACCTGCCAAATGAGCCTGGGCCCCAGGCTTCGAACGCGACTCGCGGCATGGGACCCTGGGGATCTGCAGAGGTTTTCTTTCCAAGAGGAAACAAAAATACATGCCGTCCTTTTAAGGGGGGGGGCAGAAACCATGTTTTATGTTTTGCGAGTTTAAACACATCAGATTGGATAGATGTGTAAACTTTAAACTGAGGTTCACACTTGGCCTGCCGTGGCTGTTTCGTTTGGGCTGCCGTTTTTGGTTCAAATGACACAGCATATGACTTTGCTAGCACTTGTGGGAGGGTCAACCATTTAGCGAGTAAACCGTCCAATCAAGCATGGTTTCGCAGTGCCGCCATTTATCCAGAACGGATCTCCTTGTTCCTAAATCGCCCACTATATGGGCTCCTGTGCTGAAGAACCACATATTTCTTCTTTACCACCTGGCGAGACCTTCACACCGCATGCTGTTCACCCTCCATTTTTCTTCTGCAATTCCATGACAGTTCCCCGTTCCTGCTCTGAGAGATTGCAAAACCAAAGCTCACAACGCATTCCAACACGCCTGAGACCTGAGATGCTTCAAATGTTTTTGAGGCCTGAGTTGAGTGTGGCCATTTGGAGTCGGGCTGTGCCGCTGCGCTGAGCCGTATTCCGGGACCGAGGCCATAATTCCGCCAGCTGAATCGAGAAGGCCAACGACACGCATCCAAAGGATCCGAAAGAGGAAAAATCGGGCGAAGATGGGTTAGAGCCCTGTTGCCCATCGAAGCTGCACTCGGTGCTTTCCAATTTGCAGACGAGAGATAACGCTTGGCGTCATATTATATGCAGTGGAGAGTCTCATTGACCGTCGCGCCCTCCAAACATATGTAGTGGTCCATGGTTCGTTTGTTAACGCACAGCATAAATACAGCACATTTAGCTCATGAGTGCATTGGTGATGAGAGCTTTGTTCCTTCAAGAGATTGGGTGTCAGAGCACACATGTTCAACAAACCACACACCCAAATGAAGTGTGCGGCCACACAACGCACCCTGCCTGTGCAAGCGCATGCCTTGGATTGCTCCGTTTTTGCCTTGGATTTGCGATTGGAAGCAAGGTTCTCCTCAACAATAATATTGTCTCTGCGAATGGCGCACAGGACCCAGTGAGACTTCGAGTGGAAGAGCCGGTCGCAATTGCTCGATCTTGAGGCAAATGCGATCATCAGCATTTGCAGAGAACGTATGCACGAATTTGACGCGGTCTCGCCGGCGTGCCTTGCCTTTGCTCCTTACGTGAACTTGGCACGCGTCATGCATGTGGGAAGCAGCCTGCAGCAGCCTTCATGCAGGTTGCTCATAGTGTGGGAGTTTCAGAAGTCCATGGCTTGACTTGAGCCTGTGCGGCTCAAAGTTACATGAACTGCAATGAAAATTGTAATCGAAGGTGGAGCAGTTTGACATAGCACGAATGAGCCACAAATGCATTTCAGCAATATATTTATGTAGGTGTCCATGTGACTTTTTGTGCACACAGGATCACGTTTGCAGTGACAGCTTTGTCCCTCGCCGACAAGCGTTAGCTGCGAAGATCGACCATGTTATTCACAGAGCGTCATGAAGGCCAGTCACTAGGGTTGATTTAAGCCTCTCAGCACCGAAAGTGTTGGCCGAAAAGGGTGACAGGCAACACACGCACCCGTTCATGGCAAGCTGAGCTTCTGGCCTTTTGGCTTCAAGGCCCAACTTGGGTCGCTCATGCCGCTTTTGGTCGGAGGGCGGGGAGTAATTTCTGCGAGGGTGGCGCTTGGTACTTCGGGTGGTTTGGGGCGGTGTGGATAGCATAAGCTCAGTGTCCCAAAGCATTTGCGTGCAGGTTCAATGCGGCGGCACCACGCCCAGGGTGTGCCAGATTTGCTGACCAATCCGACCCTTGTAGAGGCGGGCAGACAAGGGTTCAGTTGGTAGTTGCATGCGGTCGAATGATTTGCACACATTTCTTGAGTGCTAGTTGGCCTGCGCTGGGGCGCAGCGGGCTTGAATTGCACCAATGAGCGATCTCAAAGTTGAGGGTTTCAAGTTGGCAGTGCAGGGACGGAAAGGCAGGACCCGTACAGCAGTGGTAATCCATGCCTCGCGAGGCGTTCGGAGGCAGTGCCGGCTATGCAGGCTTGCCTCGGGCGTTCCTTGATCTTTTCCTGTGATGTTCTGACATGACATGCCCGTGAGGGAACGCGCGTGTGGGGGCACACTATGAGGCTGGGACACTCAGATGTTCGGCCTGCCATGCTGTGACCAGAGCAAGGCATACGCTTGGACCATTGTTATTGGGATGGGCATCGCCGTGCGTTGACCGTGTGTTCCCCAAGACTGAACCATCCGTTGCCCCCAGTCAACCACCCCAGCGAGAGAGAGAGAGAGAGAGAGATACATAGGGAGATACATATATCTATCTATCTATCTATCTATCTATCTATCTATCTATCTATCTATCTATCTATATATATATATATATATTACAGATCTACACACAAGTATGGCGCCTGCGTATTCCCAGGCCGATGATGCGGAAGAGATTCCCAGAGTATTTTCCATGAAGGCCGGGCATGATTTTGACCTCTAAAGGTTATTGGTTCCTTTGGATTTCCTGTCAGTTCTCCTTTGACCAATTTTTCCCCACCTCACTGCGCTTAATGAACATTTTCCTGATATGAGCACGTTGTCGCAGTTTGCTGGCGGCTTTGGCTGTTTGCCTGCACAGGGCAGTGGGGCATTCGGTGCGCTCCTGAGAACAGTCGGCTTGCCTCTGCCGGCCTGTGCTTAGCTACGTTCGGGTGGCCCCATGTACTTTCGTGCGTTCTTCTTTTGCCTGATGCTCTTCATTCCTTTCCATATGTTCTTTCCTTTCATGCTTCCTTCCTTCTTTCGCCCAGGTGCAACTCGCCTGCCAACAACACAGGCGGGCCGGGCCCAGTCCGTTGCTTCAAGCGGCTGATGGGGAGGAGTGACATTCGGACCTCATTCTGATTACCCGGGGGCAATTATTCTGGGCATCAAAAGGTCTTGGTCATCGTTCCTCTGGTTGGAACATGTTTAAGGGCCGGCTAAAGGCTAATTACTGTCGGAGGGCGATTTATTTAGGAAACATTTTCCCGTTTTTCTTTAGGACAATTTCCTGAATTTTGCCTTATTTGGCTTCTTAGCTTCTTGTCTTCTTGGAGTCTGGGCTTTTTGGTTTCTTGGCTTTTTGGCTTTTGGTGGCCTCTGTGGCTTTGGCTTTCCGCTTCATCAGCATCACCAGCAACACCCCAGCATCACCAAGCCTTTGGCTTTTTCGCTTTTCTGATTTTTTGTTGGTGGCTTCTTACCTCCCATGTTTCTGTAGATGCGGGGGGCTGCGCCCCCCCCCCCCCCCAACTTCCCACCAAAACTAGAACCAACCTTAAAACCAAACCCTAAAAGGCAACCCTAAAGAAACTCTAAGTAACCTTAAACCAGCAAGACCCCCTAAAGAAAATCCTAAACAAACCCACTCCAAACCAGCAAGAGACTATTCCTCAACCAACTCCAAACCTACCCTAAACCAACCCTAAACCCCAAGCACCCTAAGCCAATCCCGAAACCCACCCTAACCCCACCCAAACCGACCCTGAGTCCGCACTATGCTTGTATTATTCTGTATTGATGCTGGTTTAGAGTGGGTTTGTATTATACGATCCGCACTAAACCAGCAAACCCTATAGCTCTCTAAAGCAACCCCAAAACCACTCCCGAACCCCCCAAACTAAACCCGCTCTAAACCCACCCTTAACAAACCCAAAGCAAACACGATACCAACCGCCCCCTACCCCCCCAAACCAAATCAACACTCAACCATCCCACCTAAGCACAACCACAGCCTAACCAACTCTAAACTCACCCTACACCAGCCCAAAACCCCTGAACCAACCCCAAGAAGCCCACCATAAATCAGCACTAAACCATCCCAGTCCGAAAGCGCAGCCCCCAAGCTTGCCCTAAGCAAGCCTGGAACCCAACATGAACCAAGCCTGGCCGACCTAAACCCACCCTAAACCCAGCCGAACAAATCCAACTCGTGCTGAGGATGTTGAAAAGGATGCTGCCGAGTTAAAACGATGCCGGGGTGTTGACAGCGCTGGCCTGCCTGCCTGCCTACCCACGAAAGCAATCAAGCAAACAAGCAAGCAAGCAAAACAAAACAAAACAAGACAAGACAGACAAGACAAGACAAGACAAGACAAGACAAGACAGACAAGACAAGACAAGACAAGACAAGACAAGACAAGACAAGACAAGACAAGACAAGACAAGACAAGACAAGACAAGACAAGACAAGACAAGACAAGACAAGACAAGACAAGACAAGACAAGACAAGACAAGACAAGACAAGACAAGACAAGACAAGACAAGACAAGACAAGACAAGACAAGACAAGACAAGACAAGACAAGACAAGACAAGACAAGACAAGACAAGACAAGACAAGACAAGACAAGACAAGACAAGACAAGACAAGACAAGACAAGACAAGACAAGACAAGACAAGACAAGACAAGACAAGACAAGACAAGACAAGACAAGACAAGACAAGACAAGACAAGACAAGACAAGACAAGACAAGAAGACAAGACAGACAAAGACAAGACAAGAAGACAAGAAGACAAGACAAGACAAGACAAGACAAGACAAGAAGACAAGACAGACAAGACAGACAAGACACAGACACAGACAACGACAGACCAGACAGACAAGACAGACAAGACAGACAAAACATACAAGAGACAATCACAAGACAAGACAAGACAACACAAGACAGACAAGACAAGACAAGACAAGACAGACAAGACCGACAAGACAAGACAAACAAGACAGACACAGACAAGACAGAAACACAAACAAGACAGACAAGACAGACAAGGCAGACAACACAGACAAGAATGACAAGACAAGACAAGACAAGACAAGACAAGACAAGACAAGACAAGACAGACAAGACAACAAGACAAGACAACGACAGACAAGACAAGACAAGACAGACAAGACAAGACAAGACAAGACAAGACAAGACAAGACAAGACAAGACAAGACAAGACAAGACAAGACAAGACAAGACAAGACAAGACAAGACAAGACAAGACAAGACAAGACAAGACAAGACAAGACAAGACATACAGGCAGACAGTGAGACAAGCAAAGAAACAACATCAACCAACCACCAAAGAAACAAACCAACAAACAAAAGCAAACAAACAAACAGGCGAATGGACAAATTAGTCTGACTTTTGGATGCGTGCCACACACTATGGAAATGCATGCCTGCCTGCCTGCCTGCCTGCCTGCCTGCCTACCCACAAATAAACAAGCAACGAAAGCAATCAAGCAAACAAGCAAGCAAGCAAAACAAAACAAGACAAGACAAGACAAAACAATTCAATTCAAGACAAGACAAGACAAGACAAGACAGACAGACAGACAGACAGACAGTGAGACAAACAAAGAAAACAAACAAGCCAACAAACAAAAGCAAACAAACAAGCAGGCGAACGAACAATCAGAAAACCAGCAAGCAAACAAACAAGCAAACAAACAAAAGCAACAAAAACAACAGCACAAAAGACGCAAACGAACACACACACACACACACATAAGAGCAACCACCACGCAAACAAACAAGCAAACAAAAGCAGGCAAAAAAACCGAACCAAACAAACAAACAAACCAACCAAAACAAGCAAGCAAGCAAGCAAGCAAGCGAGCGAGCGAGCGAGCGAACGAACGAACAAACAAACAAACAAACAAAACAACAAACCCGCAAACAATCAAGCAATCAGCGCCAGCAAACAAACAAACGGAAGCAGCCAACCAAGTATATAAACAAAAACAAGCAAGCAAGCACACTTTCAATCAGTCAGTCAGTCAGTCAGTCAATCAATCAAGGCAACAAACGAGCAACAAACCGGCAAACACACCAAAAAAGAAACACACAAGCAAGCAAGCAACCAAACAAAGAAACAAGAAAGCACGCAAGCAATCGACGGAACGAACAAAAAAACAAGCAACCCAACAAGAAACAATCGAGAGCAATCACAACGACGGCGACACCGACAACGACAACAAAACAACGACAACAAGCACGACAACAACAGCAACAGCAACAGCATCAGCAACAAGAGCAACAGCAATAGCAACATCAGCGGCAACAACAGTAGCAATTACACAGCATTTTAGCTGTATCATTTACGGATGTTGCACGTATGTCTTCAAATACAGTAGAAAGACGTATTTGTCTACACGCGCACACACACACACACTGATTTGGACTTGGAACAAGGGGAGCCATTGCATCCAAATAGTGACTACCAGGGACTGTTTACGACCATTAGGGCCAATGAACATCAGCTATGATTTTCCATGGCTGACCCTGCTGTGAATTTGGAAAGCGTTGACGCGCCGAAGATGTCCCAAGCAGAGGCCAGCTGGCCCATGGGCGCATCTGTGTCCGGCCCTGGCCCCGCTGGCTCCGGCCCGCCCCCAAGCTACTTTCAGGAGCGGAGAGTTGTGCAAATTTGTGTTTGGTTGCAGCTATGTGGTGAAACAAGTTAAGGGAAGAGAGCGGGATGGCCATGCATGCCTTGCCACTCCTTGCCACTTAGGTTGGGGCAATAGCATCTTGTTGCATCCCACGCCCACTCAGGACCTGCGTGAGAAATTGTTCATGCCGTCATGCCAAAAGTCGAGTTGTCACGGCAGGATTCATCCCTTGGGCTGGGCTCTCAGCTTGCCAATCGTGCTAAATTGTGCTTACTTTTGGCCTGGGCTTTCATTTTGGCAGGATGGGCATGCGACCTTCCACCAGTAGCAGCAATCCCTGCTGGGCGTGCATCTCAGAAGCGACAAATTCCGGCTTAGGGCTGGCTTGCAGTTCCATCCAGTGTACGTGCGTGCACACAGTGCTGCGCATTCGCAACCTGCGCTAGGTGACCATTTTTGGCTTTCCTGGTAGAGCAGACGGCGTCCCAGATGTGCAAGTGCTTGTGTTCAATCTTGTGCCTTGTGTTCCTTGTTGTTGCGCGCGTTAAATGTTGAGAGAAGATTCTCCCGAAACGTGTTCTTCCACTTGTGTTTTTAACAGAACGTTCTGGGGATATGGGCCATGGTCTAAAGCCGCTGATTTCGGAAAGAGAGTCTGACCATCAATGCCGCAGCAGGGAATTTTGTCGTACGGCAATGGCCCAAACGAGTGGCACTTGGAACCAGAGCCATGATCAAAGGTCAGGTGAGTGCGAATATCAGGCCTTGTTTTGAGTAGGTGTTGATGTTAGCTAGATAATCCTTTGCTGCTTGGTTTTGATTCTTTACTTCAGCTTGAACCATCAGATGGGTGTGCCTCAAAATGAGGGGAATCCTGATCCTCAAACTGGTTGGCTTTCTGTTTAACGGTAAACCAGGGAGCGCTGGAAGGCTTTGCCAGTATTCCTCTGAGGCTGCAGCGGTGCGGCAACAAGTGGAGGCCATTTGTGGGCCCATTGTGGAGGCCGGGACTCGTGGTTGCCTGAGGGGGCGGGGTTCGGGTGAATCTCATTCATGGCATTTGGTGAAGCCAATGTGAGTGTCCGTGTAAATGCCGTGAAATTTCATCTCTTGCATGCGTCATCGCTGGTGATGCACAAAGTGTTGTATACACGCTTCAACTATTCAAGGCCCATGCTGGTGCATGTTGCTTCAGATGAGTGATGGATCACTCATTTGGCAGCCGTGTCCAAGGGCAGCCGTTTATGTCACAGGAAAGAACACGTGGTCATATTTTGCCACAAGGTGTTGGTTTATTCGCACCCCGAGAATCAAGCGTAGCCGCTTCGGCTTCGATTGATTCAAGTTCTGCACGCTGCCAGGTGTGCCACGGTGACGGGAACTTCATGCATGTTTGCTTTGCCAGCTGCCAGGTGCGGCTGGCGGGTCCATAGACATCCTCAAAATGAGCATCCAAGCGCCTGACAGGGAAAACCGGGTCGAAGTAGTTTTGAGGACCCCTTAAGTGGACGCAGTGGGTCTTTGCTTGCGCAGGCTGCGACAGCATGCCTGGCGCTCAATGGCCAGCTGTTGCTGGGAAAGATCATGGCCGCCCTGCCTCGCTTCGACCGGTGGAACACAGACTGCACCGTCGGTAAAGATGATCCCCAACATTTCGATTGTTTTAGGAAAGGTGTCTGTCAACAGAACCATGACCATGACCCACATCAGGAGCTTGGACCATGTCACGTGTGAGAAAGCGGCCACTGGGCAGATTGGTTGCATTCCCTGCACCCATGCCGCCCTTGCCTCAGCTTCTGTGCCTATAGTTTCACGTCTGCAGAAACACTGCCTTAGGCACTTCTCGCAGCAACTGGGGACTGCTTAGAGCAGGAGGCGCCGACAGATCGACGATGGTGCAGTACACTCACCGGCCACGCTCTTCAACAGGAAACCATTCATCTCCACCTATGTGATTGTCCACCAAAGGTCCGGGAAAAAATACATTTTTAACACATGCTGCTTGCCCGGAGACTGCTCACTTGGCATTTGCTTCGGTCAGTCCGTGCGGGCTGCCCCCGGCACTGCCTACGACCTTCGCAGCTGGGCTAAGATTTGCTCAGAGCACTTGAAACTGGGACTTCATTCGGCGCACCAAGGGGTTTGTGCAGCTCTTGCTCGGATGAATGGCTCCTATAAGGAGTCTTGAAAATTGTGAAAGTGCAGTGTTTTTCGTTTGTTCGTTTTCTGTTCTTTGTGCGAGCATCACTGCTTGCCATTCCCTGACTCTCAAGGCCAGATGTCGGCAGGGCCTGGCAGACCGGAGGCCGGAAAGAGGGACGGAGCACCTGAGCAACTTTTATCATCAGTGTCGTTATTTGTAGTCTATTGTTTCAACCCCCCCCCCCTCAATTTCGCGCAGAAAGCAACAGGGCCCACGGCAGATTGTTTGTGATGGTGCCTTGCGCCTAGGTTCGTCGGAACGGGCTGCTGTGGCGAATGCTGGATCAATTGTTTGACATATGAAGGCGGTTCGGCGGTTCGTGCTCCGGTGCTCCGAACTCCAGTTCGTCCGAACTCGGTTTTGGTGCGCTTGTCGCAGTGGAGTAGCTGCCAGTCGAGCTCTAGACTCTCGCCGCGCAAATTGTGCAGACGGCTGAGATCGTTAATGGCGGTCACGGAAAAGAGAGCTCGGGTGGGCAGTCCTTTTGGAGCTAAGAACCCGGTAGCCCCCACGGGCGAAGTCTTGGTGGATGATCAAGATTCATGGCAGGAGTGCCTAAATCTTGAATCTGGAATGCAGGGGCAAAGCACTATCTTGGATATAACAAAAGAACTTGGAGGTCTTTCCCGATCTTTTATTGGCGCCCTTCTTGTTCGACCGCGGACCCTCATTTTTGACGGGAAAGCTGACATACACACCTTTCTTTGAGGGGAAACATACTGCATACAGCAGTTTTGCCGAGGCCATTGAAGCACTTTCCTGGTATTGACTTGGCTCGGTTCGTACTTAGGTTAAATCACATGCAATTGCATACTAAGGGCAGTTAACCTTTTTTTAAATCGAAGTTCACTTTCAATCCCAAGCAACAATTTCAATAGTTGTTCTCATTTGTTTCTATTTGAAATGTATAACGACATGTAATGGATTACCGTTGGCTTGCGATTGAACTTGACACACAGTTAATGACAAACTTGATTTCGATTTGGATGAGCAACTCGTATTTTGACCGGAATTGTTTTCCATTTTTTTCCTCTATTAGTTGAATTTCATGGCTGGAATCATATTGGTAGAATGGATTTAGAATTCACGCGGAAATTCGCAAGGACATGGATTTTCTTAAAAAGTTAATTTCAATAGAATTACTTGCCCCAAAATTGACGGTTTGCTGATTTTCCTTGCACAACGAGAAGCGTAAATCAAATGTTGAAGGTGCCAAAAAGTACTTTGCGTGCTAGTCTTTTTTGGAAAAGTTGCGTTGTTCGAGCTGGAGCTGCCAAACCGTAGTTCGCTTACTACAAGTGGATGAGTTTCAAGGTTGAAGGCTGCGCTTGCGACAAGTGGATGAGATTCAAGACTCAAGAAGCTGGAAAAACCACGTTTAGGGAATCTTGAATCTTGAGTCTTGTTTACCTCCAGCATGTTTTTTTGGGAATCTTGAATCTCACATGCATCAGCAGGTGTTGTTTCCTTTCTTTTTTTGGATGGAGCATACGTATATATATATATATATATATATATATGGTACCCCCCCCCCAGGGACCTACCTTTTTGAAGAATTCACTGGTATTTGCAGTGTGTTCTACCCTTTTTTTGGGCTTTGGGGAGAGCAATGAAAAAGAAGCATTTCCAAGGATGTTCTGGAAGCTTCAGGCTGGATTTAAACCGATTGAACCCGATCTAATTTAAATCGGGCATGGATTCAAGATTCAAGATTCAAGAATCCAGGCCAAACTTTTGCAGGGAATCTTGAATCCAGGGTCCGACTTAAACCGAATTAAACCGATTCAACTTAAATCGGGCATGGATTCAAGATTCAAGATTCAAGACTCCCTGAAAAATGTTGGCCTGGATTCTTGAATCTTGAATCTTGAATCCATGCCCGATTAAAGTTGAATCGGTTTAAATCGGTTTAAATCGAGGCCTGGATTCAAGATTCCCTGGAAAAGTTTGGCTTGGATTCTTGAATCTTGAATCTTGAATCCATGCCCGATTTAAACTTAAATCGGTTTAAATCGGTTTAAATCGAGACCCAAATTCAACATTGCACTTTGCGCGGTTGTACTTTGGCACAGTGTTGTGCAAGCATCCAAGTCCTGATTATTCATTCAATCTGCTTCAATCTAGGCCCACATTCAAGTTTGTAGGCCAAAGCTTTCTAGGGAATTTTAAACCCAGGCTCAACTGAAATTTCAGTTGGTTTCAATGGGTGTCACTCGGGCCTGGACTCGCGTTTGCAAAGAAGACTTGTCTAGAGAATATTGATTCTTGAAGGTTGAATACGGGCTCGAGTTCTTTATCAAATCCTGTTAAAGCTCTAATTTAATTGTAAGTACATATTGGGAAAGGAACTCTATTTAAACTCGAAATGTCAGATTTGATTACCATTAGGATTCTGACCAAATATTTCCGTATTGAGTCCCAATCAAATTCAAACGAGCATTTAGCGAGTGTTCGTTGGTGGAGATGTGAATTGAGTATGAAAAACACTACACAACACTGTGTTTTACGGTGCTCTCTGACCATGGTAGTGTTAGGACTAGTGAAAAGACACAAGTTTTGGCTCTTTGGATTCTTTCCTTATGAATTCCACTTAGTATGTTTTATCACATTCGACCCAATTTCTGTTTGAAATTCAATGGAGCTTAAGAAGGACATACTCCAGCCAGAATTTCGATTTGGATTCGAACTTAAGTATTGATTGTTCTATGTCAAATCAAATGGTACAAACGATTCCTGTCCAATAGAACATTGTACTTGAATTTCAATCACTTTCAGAACTAGAGTTAGATTCTTAGATGGTCTAGTCCTAGTTTGGTCCTACTCCTAGTTAGGAGATCCTTGGTTCTAGGCCTAGTATGGTCCTAGCTTACTGACATACATAGAACATACAAAGGACAATACAAAGGAAGTTCCTTATGAATTGTAGTTAATATATTAATCAAGTTCTATGCAACTGCTAACTGAACAGTAGAATAAAGTTACAGAAAATATCCAATCATAATTTATGGTTATTCTGTTTCAAACCAAATATTAAACATGACATTCTTTCCAAATACTATAAGAAGTAGACTTAAGTGGTCTAGCCCTAGTTTGGTCCTAGCTGAGAGATCCTTGGTTCTAGTGCTAGGTTGCTCCCTAGTTTACTGCAATAATTAGAAAGTATACAGGACATTACAGAGGAAGTTATACTTGAAGTTTACTTTTTTGTAAGAATCTGAGGTGGGTCGTCTAGTCCTAGTTTGGTCCTAGTCCCAGTTGAGAGATACTGGGTTCTAGTCTCATTTGGTCATGGTCCTAGTTGAGAGATCGTTCCTCCCAGTCCTAGATGGGCAAAACATGCACTGGAGAGGCAACCAAAAGGTAGGTCCCTGGGGGGGGGTAGCATATATATATATTATACAGCTATTTTTGCAATATGCATTTACATGCAAACATACATGCCAGGTCAATATGGCGACGTCCATCCATCGCATCGCCAGGACGGACCCGCATTTCTGAAGCAACACGCTCCAGAAGCTCCCTGTTGGCCCATTTTGCACAGGCTTCAATTTGCTTGCTTCAATGGTGGTGGTGATAAGCCCAAACCAAGGGTAAATCATATGAAGATGTGAGTCCCACGGTAGATCGAGGACTGGCGGGTGAGATCACAGATCGCTCCTGCAAGCAGGCGCAGTGCGTCGTCAGCACAAGAGCGGGGTGTGGGAGCTTTCTTTGAAGTTATCAAGCCTTTGGCAGGGGGTTTCAGCCTGTCGCAAGAGTTCCCTGCCAAGAGACATGGCCCGGACAGGGAGTTTCGACCACGGCACAAGTGGCAAATGGCTTCATCCAGCGTGTTTTGCAACCAGGTTCAAGTTTTTGTGAACCATGCTCAAGTATTTGTAGGCTCCTTTGAAGGCGGCACAAAAATGACACCAGGTCTCAAAACGGGGCCTGATTTTTGACAACTACATGGGGCAGCACTTGCAGAATTCGGTCGTAGCTTTGTTCAGGTTAGTTCGGGACTACGGTAGTGGACAGGCGGGATATGGTTTGGAGGGATGGCGTGGAATTTGCTTGCCGTGAAATGCATTGCAACTGCACATGGTGCTTCTTGATTTCATATACGTCGCAGTTGTTGCCGTTGCAATGACGCATACGATTGACATTTCTGCTGCTTATGACTTGTTGCCTTTCTTCATGTTCTTTCACTAAGGCTGCTCAGCTTATTGCCACAGTTCAGCTCGCAGGCGGCGCGGGAGAGTGCTCAACATGGCAGCATGGAATGCCCTCAGTTTCAAGACCCTCATGGGGCCCGGCAATACGGCAATACGGCAATCCGGCAATCCGGCAATCCGGCAATACGGGTTCGAGTGGCATTCAGCCGGCAGAAGTGGTCCGTAAAAGGAACGCGGCAGCGCTTTGTCAGCCTGATTTCGGACACCAGGCCGCCGCCAACAGAGCCCGGTCTCCAGGGCGCTCGGCTTCTCGACAGGCGCCGGTGCTGGATGAGGCGGCCTGGGAGCTTGGGAGTGGACCGACTAGAGGCTACAGGTTCTTCTGCTTGTTTGGGTGAAGATACCCTTTTCTTAAGTGAAGATTTCAAGGGAAACCAGAAGCAACACCACCGTGGTGGAGGTACACCATTTTGACACATGCTGCAGGCATTTGCATTTGGCGAGACAGAAGAAATACAATTTTGGAATCTGTCATGAAACCTTTTCGAGTGGTGCCCCGTCCAGCCAGCATTTGAAATGAACGACTCTTCGCTTTTGATTCTGGGCCCAACTGTAGCGACAGCTTGTTTCGATCGCAAAACACTCATCCCCATGCACACCTCGCTTTGATGATCCAAGCCATGATACGGTGGCTCCTCGTGGCGCAAGCTGCTGCAGCGACTGGTCTGAGTCAGTGATGCCATCTCTTCGAGAGTCAACATGAATTGAACACAAAATATCAAGTTCTGTGGACGCTCATGCTGAAGGCGCCAGACGATGACTATCAAGCGTGGGCTCGGCCCCTAGGGTCCCGAATTTGTTGGGTCCCTGATTTTTGGTTTTGCGCTAGGCCGCGAAGAATTTTCAAGCTGATGACAAAGAATCCATCGAGCGGGGCAGAGCGCTTCTTAGCTCAATTGTGTTGCCTCAGAACCCTAGAGCCAGTCTTGGCAAATCCTTAGGTTGAGTTGTGTTCTGTGCAACCTTCTGACAAAGACCGCCCTGGATACGCGCATCCCTCAGCTGTTAGTCTGTCAGCCAAAGACTCACCGAAGCTGTCGTTGCATGGTGCTTGTGAAGGCACCAGCTGAACAAGAAGAAGCCCTTGC